TTTTAAAAAAGTAAACGCCGGATACCTGACGGCGGTTGACCTACCAAAAAAATGTTAAAAAAAAAAAAGAACGCCGGAGACCGGCGGTCAACGACGGCTGACCAGCGGTCTCTGGTGGTTGCGGGTCAAAATTGGGGTCAAAATTGAAATTATGGTCAGAATTGGTTAATTGGTGAAATTGAACTAAATTGTGTTGTAAATCATGAAATTGGAGCTGTATTGAGTTTCAAAGAATTGTGGGTAATTTTAGTATATATAAAATGATTTTCCTTATTCGTAAATAAGTTTGAATGAGCTGGAGGTATTTGAAAAACAAAACGAATATCTATTTTCTAATTAAGTGCCTTTATCATGTGCTTTGCTATTAACCTTAAGATCAATTTGGGTTTTGGATTTTGAGTTTTGGATGTGACCGGAAATGGCTAAAATCAGGTGAGCCACACGCGTTTGTTAAACAAAAAAGAGGTCGAAAAGTAAGAGGAATAAGAAGGAACTGGGCCCACAATTTTCGTCCGAGGAAAAAAAAAGGCCATTACAAAATGAAATTCAGTTTTGGATATGGAAAGGCAGAAATAAAGACGAAACGGCGCCGTTTTGCGGGCAAATCTGCTTAAAAAGGGTGAAAAGTAAATTGAGAAGCACGCACTATTCACGTTTCTCCTACACGTTTAAAATGTGATGAATTCAGCTTCTTCTTTCCCCCAAAACCCAACTTCACTATTCTCATTCTTCTCATTTTATACAAAACCCCACCCTCGCCGCACCACCACCGGCAACACCGCACAGGCGGCTGAGCCAGTAGAGAGCTATAATTCAAGGTACATAAATCTAATTTACCATTTGATTCTAGTTTAATGGTGCAACTGTACTATGATTATGTAGAATTGCAAACCCTTTCTCATATGAATTATATACATGAAATCCCCTTTAGTTTTTATTTTCCCTGGTGATGGATGGCTTCATTTTTTCCAATTGTTAAAAAGGTGAGAAAGAATTTAAATTAATTGATTGAGAAAGAATTTAAATTAATTGCGTGGAACCATTTCTAAAATTTTCAAGAGCGAATGGTGTGTTTTTTACGATTATTCTTTATTTGCTAACTTAATTGTGCAGTTAAATGCCACCTAATTGTGTTGGCAAATTCACGATCTGAAATCCCGTCCCATCTTCCATTTGTAGTACTACAATAACTCTAGCTATCGTGTTTGTGTTGAACAAGTTTTTTCGAAATAAAAACATATTAACTAGTTTTATTTCTACTCTCATCTGGCCTTGCATTTGACATAGAAAGTATTCTAGCGTTTTATTGGAAAAAGAACACATTGCATATTTTGACAGAATATCAAGCCTATTATCAATTTGCTGTCTCGGGCAAGCTTGATCTTATAGCGACCACGTCATATGAATTATTACGTGGCGTGTAACGTAATCATGTTCTATTTTATGTACATATGTTCCCATTTTTTTTTTGGTAATTTATAAGCTAAATCTGGATTTTTTACTCATTCAATACTGAATGTTTTCTCTAACAAAATTTTCCCAAATTGACTATTTCACCTCAGTTCATGTACCGTTTTGTCAACATTTGATACTTGTATTGAGTGGGTATATCTTTTTAGGGCTGATTTGTCTTTGTTCTCATTCTCTGCATATTAGCCCTTGTTTGCTTGACTTTGATATTGTACATGTTACTTGGCAGTTATGATTACATACTTAGATTTGGAGTTAATGTTCGATGTAATCTGTAGTCTATTTCTTTAAGCCTACCGTTTGGTGTCCATGATCATGTTTTACAAGTACCCTTCTTCTTGATAAATATTATTCCTCGGAAATTATTGTTTCCATGTGTATATGATCTTCTTTATTGTGTTTTTAATGTTGATCGGAAACTTGAAGCTGAATTGTTTCTAATAAATGTAGGATTTATTTTCTGAAATTGAAAATATGGATACAAATTGTATTTTACTTCATCTTGTGTAAAAACTTAAATTATGCGGATTTGTCTTGAGACATGAAACACATTTTCCAGTTGTCTTTTCGTGGCTTGAATGCTACTCTTGATGTTTTGGTATTAGATTTATTCATTTTAGCAGATTTTCTACCACATGTTTA